AGAGAGAGAGAGAGAGAGAGAGAGAGAGAGAGAGAGAGAGAGAGAAAGAAATAAACAATAAAATAACATAAAAACGAATGAAAATAAACATAAAATGAAAAACGTAGGAAAATGTTTTAAATTATAAAATTGTATTTCGATTTTTTAGTCTTAGATTATTATTTATACAAGCCAATCGAAACAAAAATATATTATACGTAAACTTATGCAATTATGATTCATTAACAACAAGTCATTCAATGGTTTGTAAGTTGTATTTGTATTTGGGGTTTAACTGGATTTTTAGCAACGAGATTTGTACGACTCTTATTTTGATGTGTCTTATCATGTGAAAACGAGTGAATTAAAAAAAACATATTATCTTATTTTTACAATTATTGAGTTGCGTATTAAAAACGATTGATTCGAACATTTCTAAAAATAAATCAAGCATCAATGCCAAGCCCTTCCACAACACACGAAAAAAAAAACTTTAACGTTTTTTTTCATTACCAAGTGAAATCGGCTAATACAACATATAACCATAGTAATATGGTACTTTTGTATTCGCATTATCTTGTTGTCGTCGAATTGCAAATCATATTGGAAAAAGAGTTATTTTTGACGCTTAGCAATCAAATTCAAATATATATATATGTGAATGAATTCAACCGGAACCTAGTTCACTTTTTGTTAGCCATTCATTGATTGAGAGTCGGGTGCTGTTGTTCACGTCACATTAGAAATAGGCATGTAATGACCTTATATGGATTATGAATAATAAAGTTCACATAACACGAGATTGGCTCAATCAAAATGATTCAAATGCTTTCAATCACATTTTTACACAGCAGTGCTTGTGGAAAACTACTAAATAACAACAATAATGCGTAGACATGAAATAAATTGATTATTTAAAAAAATGGAACCGTTTTTTTCTCATATTTCTCCAATTATAGTTTCATTGCATGGAACAAATTTGATTTTTTTTTTCTACTAATAAAAATTTTTGTTTGTAAATAAGGCGCTTTCTTAAATATCTACCATGATACCTTGTAGTGTTTCTTCTTGGATTGATTATGGTTGGCATAATCTTCTTCGTCAAAATGTTCTTTATCGTGGCCGTGCTTTTTGGCGTAGCGCTTGTCCTCACGATCATCGTATCCCTTCTTTAATTTTCCATTTTTCGAAAGAATTCCGTCGCTGTGTGCACCATCATGATGATGATGATCATCCGAGCTGCCTTTGTTGTAGTCATGGTTTTGGTACTCGTTGCCGAATTTCTTGAATTTACCGCGATGGTCAGCGTCATCATAGAATGTGTGCACTTTTTTATATTCGTCTTTGTGGAAAATATTATGGTAACCAGTTGTTTTAGAGCCTTTTTTATGCAATTTTAGTTCATTAAACTTACCGCCTTTATCGCCACGTGAGCTCTCATGATGCTTTCCATGGCCGCTTGATGTATCGTATGCAGCCGCTTTCTTTGCCTCATTCTTGTCTTGATTTTCCAAATGGTGTTTTTCATCATAATGCTTTTTACGCCCTTTGCCAAAACTGTCGAATTTATTAAAGCCCTTATCGGTTTCGAAACCTTTTCGCTTTCGACCCTCTTGATTGTACGTTGCGCCACCAGTTTTTACAAAACCCGATTCATGGACATTATGACCACCCTTGTCAGATTTTTTATTCGACTTATGACCACGACGTTTCTTCTTGTCAACTTTTTCATCTTTGTCCTCATGCTTTTCGTGCACTTTCTTCTCATGTGATTCGTGTTCAGAATTATCGTCGTCTTCGTGTCCATCGCTTCCTTCACTGCCTTCACTCTCGCTCTCGCTCTCGCTTTTCTCGTTGCTTTCATCATCACCCTCAGCATCATCGCTACTTTCACTTTTATGTTCGGAACTCTCTTCTTCTTCTTCCTCTTTGGATGGCTCGGATTCTTTATGATGTTTTTTCGGCGATTCATGCTTTTTGGGGGGTTCATGCTTTTTTGGAGGTTGATGGTTTTTCGGTGAATCATGTTCTTTTGGTGCATCATGTTTTTTTGGATCTTCATGTTTTGGTGTATGTTTTCGAGTTGAAGGTTTAAAAAGAGGCGGCGATGGTGGTGGCTGTGGTGGTCTTTTTGGTAATGGCACAAGATGTATTTTTCTATGTATCGGCCGATAAAATCCAAATGGATTTCCAAATATTAATGGAGAGTTCTTTGTCGTTTTGTAATTTGCCAGCATTCCTTTTGTAGGTGGTGTTTGAACAACAAGTCCATAAGGTGATCTTCCATACGGTCGACTACGCATATAATAATTTGGTTGCTGTTGCAAGTCTTCGTGTGAATGTTTTTCATGCGTTTCATAAGTGTTATTTTTCTTATCGTAATTATGGTTTGGATGATGTTTATTATGTTTCTTTGACGGTGGAGTGGCTTTTGTCGTTGAGTCAACACTGGAATTCGAATGTGATTTTTGTCTTTTAAAAAATTTCGTTGCCAATTTCACGAATTTATCGATATTTTTCTGCGTCGGACTATCGCTCACTGACGGCACTGCTGTATTTTGTCGCTCACTTTTCGGGCTGGTTGTTTCTAAGCTCTCTGACTCTGTCGTTTTGTCATCGTTTAAATAAATTATTTGTGGTTGATCGTCACCGATTTGACTGTAAATATAACCGGTGGGCCGTATTATTGGTCTACGTTCAGAAGTGTTTATTTTCACTTTAACCTTTGACTCTTTTCCAAAAATACATAATATTTTAATCAATAAAATGCACATCAATATCGAAATGATTTTCTGTTGTAATGCCATTTTATCCACATTTTCTATTTCCAAATAAACACTATTTCTCACTTATTTCCAATGTATCGTAGCACGGTCGAACATTACTGAGCCTGAGCGGACTGTGTACGTGCCATTTATAACATTTTCAATATTTCTCGTTCAATTTTTAACACAGTTCAACCACTACCGGTCAGAATTGAGTTTATTGATCACATAAGATACATTTTTTTTAAACGCCAGCCCAAATCGGCCAATAACAATGCTGATGTGATTCGGTTTCAAGCAATAATTTATGGCATTTCATATGTGTTATGTCAATGAACGACTCATAAAAACCTCGATCAATATATCTTGTAAGTTGGAAAATTTATTGAGTTTGTAGTCGTTTCCGTGCTGCGCTTCATTGATTTTTTCAATTTCATGAAATCGCAATTTGAACGA